CTACTACTACTACTACTACTATAAACGTGAAGAATTACTGCAACAAGGTTACTTAGTAACTTAGTAGCTGTTCCGACCTCTGTAGCACCCCCCCCCCAAGCTTCAGTGCCAAGTGTCGGGAGCCTGGACCCCGAGCTCAGACTCAAAGGCTCTAAGCCTCGGACTCAGCAGGAGTTCAGGGATTAATAGAGGCCTTAATAATTAGAAACGGGTTTTGGGGCATCTTATATCATAATTATAATCAGGAACCCCCAAAACCCTATTCTAATTATTAAGGCCTCTGTATTAGGGGTTTAGGCTTTGATGTTGGTTCATAATTTGGCTTAGGAGAGGGTGCATAAAGGCAACTTATCTAGAGACCGGAGGGGACTCACTCCCTAAAGCGGAGGGGACTCACTCCCTAAAGCGGTTTGGGGGCTTAAGGCTTTTCATGGCCCCGAACCCCATAAACCAAGCACACAAGCAACTGTCTGTTTAGATGTGGTTTAGGGCTCAGGGTGTAGGGATGTGGTAATGTTCGCAACGATAATTAATCATTACTCGCGGCAGGTTCACTGCCAAATGACCGCAACACTAACAATGGAGATATGGTCAACATGGTAATTGTACTAATTGGTCATATTCGTCGTGCTCAGCACACCTTCGGCCCTATGATATTCTCATTCATATAAACGTCTAACAAAATTTGAGGGTTTGTTACTAGACATAGGTTGGGGAACCGTAAGGAATAAAGTTCCTATTCACTTATTCGAGTCTCAAACTACAGGTTTGGCACACCCAGAGTGCCTCGGGTTTCCCCATGGCTGGGTGGCCCCAACGCGGAGAGGCAAACTTTCAAACAGCAAAAAACCTCGGGGCATGCACCCATCAACGGCGACCGTGGTGGCTTCCAGTGTTTTCTTTTGCGTCGCCCTGCACGCAGAACCCCTTTCTTTCAGCACCCCTCAATCCAGATAACCGGTAACCGCAAACACTAAACAACCTACCATGTGGGTAGTTCTCTAAGTTAGGGTCCCTTTTGAAGTCCCCAAAATTACACGGCACCCTGATACAAGGGACCCTAAAGGGACCCTAATATAGACAACTACCCATATCCAAGTAACCATCAACCGGGTCCAGACAGTGCTAAATCAAAATGCTGGTGTAGATCGAAGGCCTTACCGGTATGGGGGTTTCCGAAAATTGGGGACCCTAATATAGTACCCTAAACAATAGGATCCTTATTATAAGGACTCCAAAATAAGGAACCCCTAATTTTCGGAAACTCCCGTATAGGACTTTCAGAAGAGCAGGGACTCCGGTATGGATCGCGGGCGAAAGACTAAAGCCCTGTACACATCCCTAAGTAATGCTCCCAAGCTCTTTGCCATTCAGATGTCCTACGAAAGCCAACAGTAGAAACCATTGACGAAACTGGTGTGCAACGCCATACCGCTGAACACTAAGCCTCACGGAATAGCAGGCAATCTTTGCCCGGCCACGCAGTGATGTTTGCCTTTGTGGCCACCTTGCGGCTGCTGCTGGCCTCAGGAGCTTCCGTGTAGGTCCAAGTCTGTCCATAAATTCATCTATCCATCATTCCATGCATCCATCCGCATAGAAACCGATGAATAAATAAGTAAATAAATACATCATATATATATATATATACACATGCGTGTATGTATAAACATATGCATACATACACATACATACATATACACGTTTGTATACATACATACATACATACATACATACGTACATGCATACTTACATCTACCTATATGCACTGGAGAGATCTGATACATTCACTTGCGAAAACGGCTGGCGTCAAGTCCCGACTAACTTCGGCAAGGTCTCCGCGTAGACTGCACCCGCCGACACCGCGACGAGGGATGCCGCTGTCAGGGGCGCGCTAGAAGCCGGTCGGGCCTGGCGAAGCACAAACAGTTGCCCTGCTGAGGTCCTGATCCGAGAATAGGTCAAAAATGCTTCAATTTAGGTTACATACGCACAAACCGCCTTAACCCCGAACTCTAAACCCCAAGCCCTACACCCCAAACCCCCTTTGAAGTACCTCCCGAAACTTCGAGCGGTCTGGAGCCTCCTTGGCCTGCGTCTGGGTGCTGGCACGAAGAGCACCTTGCCGCCATTCTTGCCAAGTTGAGCATTCAATACTTCGGTATTTCACTATACATGTTATATAGCCTTTATGATATTTCAATACTTCGGTATTTCACTATACATATTATATAGCCTTTATGATATATCTTTGGGATTTACGAGGATGAGGCTTAGCAAAAGAGCTCTAGAGGTTTCGGGGGTTAGAGAGCCTAGAAGGGGCTTCTGGGGTTTCAGGGTTTGGTGTTCTCTGGGTTCCGCTTTTTGGTTTGGGTGTATTGGGGAAAGGTTCTTCGGTTAGAGGGATTGTTTAGAAGGAGTTCAACATGAGTTTGATTTGAGGCTTGGTGCTTTGGATTCTAATGCAGGTTCAAAAGAGGGTTCTACTAGGGCTCTAGAAAGGGTCTAGTAGTGTAGCGGATGTTGTGCCACCGTCTCATCCGTTTCAATTCCCTTCAACTCTCCAGACAAAAAACCCGGGCTGACTTTACGGGCTGACTTTAGTCCCACAGCCCTAGACCCTAAACCCAAAGCTCTATGATGTAGGGGCCTTAATCAGCATTATACTCTAACTATACTAAGGAAGCCCCCAAATTTAAAATAGTATTGGTAGTTATTTAGGCCCCTACATTCGA